AGGCTCCTAGGTGATAAGTCCTCTTCCTCCTCCTTCCACTCCTCCCTGCGTTGGGAATAGTCAAGAATTGGTGCCGGCCTGCCATAGATGGAGCCGTAGTAGCCAGCCTCAATAGCAGCTATCTCAGCCTGAGCACCGGGCGTGTATTGGCTCCAATGCCGCTCTCGCCATGATTTCTCCGCTACAGTAGCAGTCGACTGTGGCAGGGGTGGAGTATAAGGTCTGTGAGCCGGCCCACCATCCTCACTAGGGAACGGTATTGTCGGGGTAGCCCTCAGTTTGACAGAACTAGCACTAGTACTTGTGCTAGGGATAACCGTCGGGGGCAGCCGATGCTCACTTTTCTTCTCAACGTAAGTGATTTCCTTCACCAACTCGACCAGCTGCTCCACCAGATCATCCCGACGTCGATTCAGCTCACCGACCCTCCCCGCGTCACCACCGGACTCAGTTGACGCACCATCGCGGTAGCGGCTTTCAGATCTCCTCCTATGCCTCCTCCTTCTTGAGGACTGTCGATGCTCTGCTACTCCCGAGCCCTGCCTCCTCCTATGGTGTCGATGCCGGTCCTCTCGACTACAACGAGATCGTCTCCTCTCCCGATGTCCACCCGACCCATCACGGCCACCATGGCGATCCCGTCGTCCATGGTGGCCGCGAGGACGGTCACCACTGGCTCCATGCTCGTGGTCACTACCGGCCCTCACTCGACGACGCTGATGACTATGCTTACGATGCAATTTCTTGTGGTCATCGCGATCTCGCCTCTCCCGCCGCTCATCCCGTCGACGATGATGACTATGATGACGGGAACTCTTTCGATAGCTACCATGCGAATGACGACTGCTACTCCTCCTCCTACCTCGATGCTTATGGTCGTGATTGGGCTCATCCCGCTCGTCGTAACTTTCGTCTCTTCGTCGTTGCCGTTGCCGCTCCAATTCACTCCGACCACCACCGGAGTTTCCGATCGGACCCTCCCTCACTGTCCGCTCACTATATCTCGCAGACGACGAATCTCCATTATCGTGGTTGCTCCTTCCACCACAAACTCCAGCCTCAACTGGTCCCTCCTCATGGATCGTTTCTTGACAGCGCCCTCCTGAGTACGCACCGTCCCGAGGCCAAGCACCGGACACAGCTTGCTCCTGCTGCTGCTGCCAAGAGTGAGCACGTTGAGAGTAATACGACCCAGTACACTGGCCGTTGTCGTAACAGTGGGGATTAAAGCATTGCTCATCAAGACCGTCTCGGTCATTCGCCCACCTGGTGTCGATGTAGTATTCACCATCACCATCATCATCACAAGCCTGAGGCTCTACACCCTGGGAGTAGACGGGGTCGTAGCCATGACCATTCTCACAATCGTAATACCACCCACCATCCACGGGCTCAACACCGTATGCGGTACTCGAGCTATAAGTCACAGTCTCGCTGGGGCCAGCACGACCGCTATGGGGCTGCGGTGGTCCTCCACGGGTCCTGTCGGCGTGGTAGCCGGACTTCCTCTCTAGCCAGTACTGTCCCCGTAATACTCGTGGACAGTAGATATTGGGAGGGGCGTAAGACGGCCCTGATGGCCTGCTCGGGAAAGGGGCCATAGTCAGTGACCAGCAAACAAGCTCTAGTCATTAAAACCAAACTTCTCAACCTAAGCCAGCCCTTCCGGAAGGCATAGACTCATCGATTTCAACACAAGAAGAAATACAGTTTTTTTCCATGTCGCCAAGAGTGAGGGTCTCTCGGCATATTTTCAGTCGGACATTCGCGAGAAGCACTTCTATTACTGAACTCGACGCAGATGGCAGAACAAGCAGACCGACAACAAATAGTCATAGCAAGCTACTCTAGAACAAGTGTGACAACTGTTTGAACATCTTGAACCGGAAAGGAGGGAAATGCTCACGATTCGGCAACTTGATCTCCTCGACCAAATCAGGCGGGGGATCTGCAGGGCGAATATGAAAAAAGGCGGAGCGAAGCAACGCGAGTACTCAATCCGTCGAGGATGGAATTGTCCTCTTCTGGAAAATCGTCATCCATCTGCTCGAGGTCTCGAAGAACATCAGCCAACACGACATTTCCATCTGAAAAACCGTAAAGGTGAATACACTCAGTGGCAATAAGGCTGGTCCCACCAATACGGGCATTAGCCCTCCTGAGCTGGGTCAGCAGGAGCTCCCGTCGGACTGTACGCTCATCCGCAAGCCTCTCGACCAGGGCCCGCCTCGACCAGTAACGATAGCTGATGAAGATGGTGTGTGATATTTGGGGTACTACTCACCTTTGCCATTTCAGTCGATAACCCGGCCTGGTCTTGGCGGCTTCCACGCCCAACGACCCAACCCATCGCTCATCGCCATCAATGAATGAGAACTCCACCACACTCTAAAAACATCGTACAATCATAGTAGTTTTCAAGGGCGTCACTCACCTTGTCGCCCTCTGGATAACTCCATTTGCATTCCGCGACACCGTCGATGATCTTCTGTTGTCGGCTCGAAGTCACTCCAACGAACCCACGATCGACATCATAGTCCCGGAGCAACTAGAGAAAGTATCTCCACAGTGGGGCGTATATGCTCACATCGATAGCGTCCTTCACTGGCTTATTCGCCGCCTTAGCTATCTCCAGATTCCTCACTACAGCATCGGGCAGGCCTCTGAACAGAAGAACATATTCTTCTAATAATTTCTATTTTATTGCATATAATCTTAACAGGGCTTACGAGTTCGAGTGCTTCGATTGGAGCTGAGACTGTGTTGGTAGCTGGGCCGGCTCACAACGTAGCATCAACAGCTTGCCGGAAGGGAGGAACCTGACGGAAGCCAACATCGAGCACCATGACCACGAGCCACTGCTTACTACCTCAAGAGACGGTAGTAGGTGACCACCAGACGTCTACGGTTGTCGGTTAGAGAGGCTCCCTCTTGGATCCGCCTGGTGTATTGGCATTTGGAGATGTACATGCCGTCGTAGCGGACTCCACTGCGGTACATGCACTGTTGACGACCCTCGATGGGATCCTCGATCTCTGGGATGATGATGAGCGTGATTTCCAATACCATTCCTTTGCCACATCGTACTTGAATAGCGCATCCACACTGAGCTCTGCCTTGACGCCGTGTAGAGGGCGGTGCACACTGTGCTGACTCTCTCAAGGGAAGGAACGTCGAGGAACCTTCACACAGACGGCGATGAAGCCGCAGGCATCTCGTCGAGATTCCGCCGTGATTTACATTATGATCGATATCAAGGGTACTCACAGTCTCAACTACGAGACGAATACTCCAACGTCATTTTGTCCGACGTGATGAGCAACTCCCACAGCATTCGAAATCTATCTAGAACGGAAGATGATTTTGGTCCACTCCTCGAGACCTCTATGAATCCCAAAGTCTGGCCTCCTTGATAATTTTCATCCACCAGAAATGCAAAATAATACAAACCACGAGCCAGGTCGACGTACGACAAGGGGCCCTGCAGCATTTCAAAGGGCAAGTCTAGAATCCTATCGACCCTCGAGGTCCTAGTAGCGACCATACCACTCCCTGCAGTAGAGGAGGAGCTTCGGGAGCGGATCACAACACCGGTGATTCGTGGCTGTAACCTGACCATTAGCACGGATGGCCATAGCCTTGTGGAGCCCTCCAACCTACGCAGAGCTGGCAGTAGCGAACGAGTCAGTCCCCTCCTTCTCCTCCTCTTCCTCTTCCTTTTCCTCTTCATCATCATTCAATGGGCTAGAAGCTGACATCAGTGCAATCACTCCGCTGTCTCCTTATCTTCGTAGATTCGCAAAAGGGCGGACGGCCAGAAGAGAACGGCCATGAAAAATCAACTTCAACCACCGAGTATACCAACCCCTGCTGTTTCCCTGCTCTTAAGACTGACCCAAGACTTAGCACGAGTAGGAGCGTCAACACACCAAAGGAAACGCTGGTGCTTGAAAGCCACAAAGTCGATGCCGGGGAGGAGTCTACTCCAAAACCGGCTGACAATCACAGCGGTGTGCACCCTTGTCGTGAAAGGAACAGCAATAGCTGACCACGCCCCGTGGTGATGCCTTACTCGACCGGGTCGAGCCGACCCTGCTACTACCTCCTATTAATGAAAACTATAACCCAACACCTCAAGCATCGACCACCGTGAGACATGGCAACTCATCAACGTATACCGGCCTCTAGCAAGGCCCTCAACGCTTTCTCTTCGCCCACTACACGGTCGCTCAGTCTAGAGGAGGAAAGTCCATAAAGCCGAAGTAGAGGGGCCTCCTACCCGTGTCCAACCCTGAGCATTTGCGCCTCGCCCTTACCATTCACAGCCGTCCACAGCTGCCTCTGGGTCGGATTGCTGGATAAAGCCACACAGCCTCCCTCCATCTCAAGAGCCACTACCGGCACGCATGGACCAGGCCTCGAGAGGTCATAAAAGACCACACCGCCGGCCCCTCCTCGCTCAGTAACGAGGGCCACCCCGAGCACAGCCGGACGGCTACAGGACCAACTGATCGAGGTAACGGAAGGAGTACCCTCCCCTGAAGCTCCCATGGAAGGCCATATTGTCAGTACTGCGGTCCCGACCAAGCCCTAAAACCGTCAGTAGGCTCGTCATACCACACCCCACCCACATTGAATATCATAACCTTGCCATCAGCCCCTCCAGTAGCATAGGCCCTCGATACAAAAGGGGAGAAGGCTACTGTTGTGACCGGCGTGGAGGGGGTGTGGCCTTGGCATGCTGAGGACTTCCCTGGGGCCGGGTATATCAACGAGCTCGGCGGCTGGGACCTGATTGTGGACCTCCGAGCAGTATAGCCTTCCCACAGTCTGCTGGTTCTTACACTACAGAACGGGTAACAGGAAATTCTTTGAAAAATGGTATAGGTTGGATCTCAACGCTTCCTACAGCCACCGACCCGTAAATGATCTCCGATGTGACCTGGCTAATGCCCTGCAGGGCACAGTAAGCCTCGACATGCATGACCAACTTCTGTCGGCCTTCCTCCGGTACCCCCCTCAATACACCCATGGCGTCACTCTTCCAAGTATATCTATGAAGCAATGACATGGTGCTGTATGATGAGAGACCCTCACTGTGAGCTAACATGCATTTGCTCTCTCGTGAATAAGTCATTCAGCCTCAGAGGAATCCCTACCCAAAAAAGGTCCCAAGTTCGATCCCGGCACCCGACACCTACTGGCCACACTACCAGCCTCTCCACCAACAATACAATGCGTAAGAGCAGCATCATCAGCGATAGGAGCCGCCATACTGCGGCAACCTAGTGACCATCCCACCTCCATCGCCGCTCATCACGATGGTCACCTTCCAGCATGCTATCGCGGTCCATCCACCTATTAGCCTTCTTCCGAGGTATGACGAACCCCGTTACAGGGACCGGATGGCCATGCCCCCCGCCTCGTGCCCATGGGTCCCACACGAGGCATTTGCCGTCAGTACTCGATGCACAGAGAAGCAGGTCCAAGTCCGATACCCTACAAGGGGTGGCCGCCGCCCATAGCCGAACCATAGCGAGGCTACATGTGACCATCAAGGGATCGAGGCAACCACTGGAGGGTGTAAACTCCTTCCCCAAGGCCATACTTCCGATCAGCCACCGTCCGGAAAACCTGAACTCAGAGCGCTCAATGTCACAACCTCATAGATGAGGGTATCATCGAATAGCAGCCCGTAGCGGGGCAGTCTCCTGCGTCGGCATACCAAGGCATCCGATATCAACTCCGTCTT